TATAGGCTTCCACCATGATGCCTGGCTAATTTTTCTATTTTTAGTAGAGAGAGGGTCTTGATTTGCTCAGGCTGGCCTTAAACTCCTGACCTTGGCACTTGTAAAGTGAAATGTATATTAACCTGATGGAGTTTATTCTTTTTTTTGAGTCAGAGTCTCATTATGTTGCCCTTGGTGGAGTGCTGTAGCATCACAGCTCACAGCAACCTCAAACTCGGGCTTAAGAGATTCTCTTGCCTCAGCCTCCCAAGTAGCTGGGACTACAGGTGCCCACCACAACACCTGGCTATTTTTTGGTTGTAGTTGTCATTGTTGTTTGGTAGGCCCAGGCTAGGTTTGAACCCACCAACTTTGGTGTATGTGGCTGGCACCCTAGCTGCTGAGCTATAGGCACCGAGCCAATGGAGGTTATTCTTGAGGGTAATATCCTTCTCTTTGCCCAGCCCAGTATATCTGATCCTGGATTCATCCTTGACTGACAAGGTATACAAATTGAAAACCAGTAGCACCTGAGCAGAGAGCACCCAGCATAGATGGCTCAAGTAAATAAATGGACAATGTACCATGGGTAGTCTGTTCTTTGTCCCTTAGGTATTTATCCCCACTGGGACTTGGGTCACATCCTTTGGCCTGGTGGATTGAGACAATTTCATGAAGGTAGAAGACAGGGAAGCCCTGTCTGTAGCCACTGGTATCAAGTATAGGTAGGAAGAGAGGAAAGGAGGCAGTATCCTTTGTTCCACCCATCAAGAATAGGTGGGGAAGAGGAAAAGGGCTGTAGGTCTGGATCACACTATGTCTGGATCTCACCATGTATGACCTGGCTCAAATTTCAAATCATCACTTTATCAATTGTCCCCTCTTTCTTTCTTGCATCATCAATTTATCTCTCTACTGGAACATGCCCATTAGTATGCAAAAATGCTGAAATATCTCCCACCTGAAAACCCCCAAAACTTCATTTGAAAAACATTACTGTCCAATATTACCCCATTCCTCTGCTCTCTTTTATTATAACGCTCAAAAGTGTTGCTTTACTTACTAGCACTGATTTCTTTTCTTTTTCTCTTTCAACGGCAATCATGCTTTGAACTCAATACACTTCCTTATCAAAATCATCCATGCATCTTTTTGTTGCCCTATATAAGAGTCAATTTTCAGTTCTCATCCTAATCAACCTTTTTGGGAAAACAGACACAGTTGAACACTTTTTCCTTCTTGAAATACATTCCCATTTTATTTCTAGAAAACCGTTCCTCCCTCACTGGAAGCTTACCTGGGTCAGCCAGACCCAATCTCTGGCCCTGAACTCTAGACTTACACACCTAATGCTTGAATAAACATCTGAAATTTTACGTGTCCAAATTGATTTTTTTTTTTTTTGAGAAAGAGTTACCCAACTAGACTCCAGTGGAGTCATTATAGTTCACTAAAACCTTAAGCTTCCTGGGCTCAAGTGATGCTCCTGCCTCAGGGTCCTGAGCTGGGACTACAGGCAGGCCACTATGCCCAGCTAATTTTTCTATTTTTAGTAGAGATGGTCTGGCTCTTGATCAGGCTGGTCTTGAACTCTTGAGCTCAAGGAGTCCTCTGGACTCCTCTCCCAGTGTGCTAGATTACAGCATGAGCCACCATGCCCCACCCAAAGCTGAACTCTTGATTCCTCCCCTCCCCCAATCTGTTCTTTCTTCAATTGTTTCCATCTCAAGAAATGGCAACTTCATCCTTTCAATTGCTCAAAACAAAAATCTTGAAGTCATCCTTGACTCATCTGTTTTCTTGCACTTCTTGTCGAATCATTCAGCAAATCCTGTCTTTCAATCTTCAAATTATATGCAGAATCTAATCCATTCTCACTATTCTACTGCCACCACACTGGTGGAGGGCCATCATTCTCTGGGCTGCATTGCTGCATACTTTCCTAACAGCTCCCCCTTCTTCCACCCTGCCCCTCCCCTACTGTTCTCCACACAGCCCCCAGAGGCATCCTTTCCAGTGATTCCCCATCTTACTCATAGTAAAAGCCAACATCTTTACTGTGGCCTACAAGGCCTTATATGATCTGACCCTGTTTCCTCCTAGTCTTCCAACTTCACTGCTTACCACTCTCTCCCTTGTGGATTCCTCCCCTCTAGTCACATGGACCTCCTTGAGCATCCTTTGAACATACCAAGCATGCTCCTTTTTAAGGATCTGTGCACCTGCTTTCCTGCTTCTGGAATGCCCTTCCTCATATCTCCTGCACCTACTTTTCCAACCCCTTTTATAAAATAGAACTTCACTACCAATCTCCTTTGCCTTGTTTTATTTTTCTCTGAGTCACTTTTGACCATGGATTACTTTAAAGATTTGAAATAGAAAATCAATAGCAAACCATTCCTCCAGAATAGGGATAGGGGAAAAATGGAGGGGAAAGGGGCTTTGCCATCTGCAGAGGAAGAAAGGGACCAGGGCTGAGAGTTTGTGGGCAGAAGAGCCCACCTTCCTTTGAAGCACCGCCAGGCAGCACTGCCTCGTGGGGCTAGGAAAACACAGCCTATCCATTAGTCCCAAGTAAAGAAGGGGACACAATTCTGTCTACGGCAATTCCACAGATTTGTTGGGATGGACTGCTTAAGGTGGGGGGCTTCCTGAGAGTCCTGCACAGTTGAGCTGCAGACTCTTTGGTGCCTCCGGGTGGTGGCCTATGGTGCTGCAGCGGACTGTGAGTGAGGCAGAGGGTGGGCAGTGCCGCTGAGCTCACCGCCACGGGTGCATCCATCCCTCCTGGGCCTATAATTTGGGTTCCCCGGGCCTGGCCGCCCCTATCAGCGGCTCAGCAACAGATGAGTCACCCGGGACCCCGGGCCAAGGCAAACATTGAGGGGGGAGGAATAGGAGGAGGTTTCCGAGGCTGCTTTAGCCACCGCCTCAGTTGCTCGATCCCCCAATCTCCAGGGGACCCTACTCTTTTCTTTGACCCCCGCCCTCCAGGGCCCCAGCGTTCTTTCTCACATTGCTCTGGATACACCCTCATCTCCATGATGGGAAGGACAGCCCTCCACTCTTCTCAAGGAAGAGAAAGGGGACCAGCGTGTTCCCACTCCCTCCTTGCAGTGATGACAGCCCCCCACTTTCCCCCTCCTGTCATGGCCCCAACCCACGTCAAGGGCTCTCTGGTTCCCGCCCCTTCCCTCTCGTAGAGCTGGCCGCGTGCTTGGGGTATTAGGCAATGGGTGTGCACCCACAGCCCTCTCCAGGCCCCGCCTGTCCCACCGCCCTCTAGCCGCCTGCGGGTCAGTGCTCAGGCCAGCCGGTCGGGCTGAGGGCACTGCGGGCCAGCTCAGGCCACCCAGTCTGCCTGGCTGTGGCCTCTTGTCCCAGAGTTGGGCTTCAGTGGAGAGAAAGAGTAGGAGTTTGGGTCCTTAGATTTGGAACAGTCCATCTTGGGGAGCTCTAGGACCATTGAGAAGTGAAAAGAAACCTGGTAGTCATTCTGACCCTAGTCGTTTCTTGGTACCTGAGGGTGTGTGCTAGAGCCAGACACCAGTAGAATCAGAAGGCAAAAACTAATCCAAAACTTGAGGGAAACAGAGACATAAGGAGAAATACTAATGTCCATGACATCCCCATGGAGAAAAGAGGGTTAGGAAACCTTATTTCCCCTCCCAGGAACCTGGTTAGAGTCCCAAGCTGATGGGCAGGAAAAAGGACAAGGACATCGAGAACATGGGCAGTGATCACTGAATCCAAGTGTAAGGGTGAAAACTACTGAGGTAGGGCTTGCAGAGTCTCATGACCTCAAAAACCACACATGGTTTGGCTCTTGTCCTCTAAATGGGAAGGAGGGTCAGGAGCACTAGGGCTCCCTCTCCTTTACTCCAGAGGTGATTAGAGAGAGATAACCATCTCTGGTCCAGGCTGTCCAGTGTCAGGGACCATGGCACTTTACTCTTAGTCTGCTCAGGCCTTGTGGTCAGTAAATATTCCAACATATGTAAGTTGCTGATCTCCTCACTTCAGATTGCTGTGCCCCCTATCCAACAGTGACCCCTGTAGCATGGGGTGGGACCTGCAACAGCACAGACTAGGCTGGCTGCTCAGCAGAACTTCACCGCCAAGGAAGAGGTGACTATGGCTGTGGGTATCAGCCCTGAGCCTCTACTTACTGGGGGGCAGTCTCTGAGTCAACGTGCCTCTGGGTGCGCGGGGCCAGCCGTGCCTTGGGCTGCGGTCTGGCAGGGGCGGGGGGCGACTAGGAAGCCTGGGGCCCCTCTCTGGCAAAAATAGCCCGCAGTGGTTAGAGCTGCCGAGGGTGAGTCAGGCAGGAGCACAGTGGCGCCTAACCCCTTCGCTGCCGCTGGAGCTCCCTAAGGCGGTTTGCCTTCATATGTGCACCCCAAGACCAGGTTCTTTCCTGGCTGCCCTTGGGCTGGGCTCAATTTGGGATCCTGAGGCTCTCCTCAGCCCATGTGAAGCAAGTCTGCAGCCTGGAGCAGAAATCCGAGCCACCTGAAGTGCAAACCCAGGAATTTCGGGAAGGATAGGAAACCTCCGTGAGCAAGGATGCTTGCAAGGCAGGCTGAAGATCTCTGGAGCTACCAGAGCTTCTGCTAGGGCCAAACTCTGAGGCCAAAGCTGATCCCTCCCAAGGGGCAGTCCAGTACTTGGAGAGGGCAGGAGCCAAACCGCCCAGACCCTCGCTTCTCCTGTTCACGCTGAGTGTGTGCTAGCTGTGGGCTTTACATGCAACTGTCTCACATCAGAGAAGCCTGAAGACCATTCGTCTCCATCTTCATCTTGTCGAAGGTGCCCTCCACACCCTGCTCTCGGTGGGGAAACTGAGGCAAGGAGAAATGAGAGTTTTGGCTACTTGGGCCTGGGCCTGGCTCCCTTGTCTGGATCATTATACCTTCCCCAAAGCCTTGGCAACCCCAGAGCAGGTGAGAGGAGCCCTAGCCACCACCCACTTCAGTGGGGCCAAACTAACCCGGTGTCGGGGAAGAGGGCGTGTGTGTTTGCTGGGAGGAGGGGGAGGCTGCGTTCCCCTGGTAAAGGAGGCGGGTGCGGGGTAGGGTGGGGATGCCCGGGGCTCGGGGTGGGGCTGCAGTTCCATCAGTCCTGCAGAGCCACCAAGCAGAGCCAGAGCCCCCAGTTCTTTGCTCACCCTCTCGATAGCTCTCTCATTCACTCCCTCCCTTCCTCCCCTCCTTCCTCCTGGCGGCGGCTGGGGCGGCAGCGACGCTGGAGAAGCAGCGAAGAGGAGTGGCCCGGCTCTGGAAGAATGTGGCTCTGCCGAGGGGGCAGAACCTGACACAGTCTCCCCAGGTTTTAAGCAGTCCGAGCCAACCTAGGCAACGCAAGCGTGCTGGTCGCGGACCCCCGCACCTGGACAACTGGAGGTAATCAGACCTGGGAAAGCAGGGAGAGCAGGGACGCACACATGGGGACGAGCAAGGCCCCCCGGTAGTCAGACAGACACATCCAACCATAGGAGCACAGAAAGGCAGAGAGAACCAGAGATATTGCTAGACATAAAGACTCAGAGAATAAGGAGTGCCCCCAGATTTGGAAGGCAATGACCATGAGACCAAGGAGTAGGGATGAGATGGGTGTTGTGCTGAGGGGAGCATGTAGTTAGGAAAAGTGGGGAACTCCACTTGCCAAAGTCCCTTTCAGGAGGTAGCCAAGTTCACCTCCCTGTCTTTTCCACACTTGGAGACTCTTCTCTTTCTCTACTGCTCAGGGAGGGGACGGTGTGAGGTGGGAGAGCTCATTCTTAGACCTTTCCCCTGGAACCTGCCTGCTGTTGAGGCCACCTGGGGTGACACCCCTATAGGTGGTGGGGAACCCCCTTTCTATGCCCTCCTCAGCCCTGTGAGGGCGGGGAATAGAGTTTGTGGGGCCCTGGACAAGGGAGCCAGTGGTGAGGTACTGGAGCAAGTGTTTGTGATTCTGTGTCTGAGTTTGTAAGTGTCTGTGTGCCGGGCATTGTGTCTGACTGGGCAGGGCTCCAGGGGCCCTGGCGTGAGTCCTGAGCTGGGAGGCTGGACTCTTTTCTACAAGACTTTCAAGGCTTAGGGACTCTGGGAACCAAGAGTTGATTCTTACTGCTCTGTTTGAGGAGGGATGAGAAGGGTCAGTGGGGTGGCACGAGTGAGTTAGAAGTCCACAGTAGAGGATCCTTCTGTTGCTCAGAGAGCTACCCTTTTCCAGAACCCTCATCAAAGCTCCCTATCCTGCAGGTCCTGATCGATCTAACCACCGGAGCCTCCGGGCTTGGACATGCTGGAGGAGCCCCGGCCGCCACCTCCGCCCTCGGGCCTCGCGGGTCTCCTGTTCCTGGCACTGTGCAGTCGGTGAGCAGTTCCCCTGGCTTACCAGCCCACCGGAGAAGCACCCACTGGGTGGGTGGAGTTGGAGAGGGTACAAGGCTTGGATCGCAGACTCCGAGATGCCTTTTCCGTTTCCAGGGCTCTCTGCAATGAGATTCTGGGTCTGAAATTGCCCGGTGAACCGCCCCTGACGGCCAACACTGTGTGCTTGACGCTATCTGGCCTCAGCAAGCGACAACTAGGCCTGTGCCTGCGGAGCCCCGACGTGACAGCGTCTGCGCTTCAGGGTCTGCACATTGCGGTCCACGAGTGTCAGCACCAGCTGCGCGACCAGCGCTGGAACTGCTCAGCGCTCGAGGGCGGCGGCCGCCTGCCGCACCACAGCGCCATCCTCAAGCGTGGTGAGCCGGGCTGGGCGGGTCTGCGCCACCGCTAAGGCAATGGGGTCGCGGGGCAGGCCGAGGCGCGCGGAGGCGGGAAGGGACGAGTTTGCGGCTCCGGGAGGGGCCTTCCCGGGAATCTCCCCCACTGCTGGCGCGCCGAGCTGGGTCTGGCCACCCGTCTGGGCCCTTGAGCTCCTGACTTACACCTGCGTGCTGCGGGCAAGGCAGCTGGGTCCCTGCTCCCCTAACTTAGCCCCCTCACCCCGCCCAGCTTGATCTAGGTTGCACCTGTGAACTAGAGATGCCCCCAACCCAGGAAGCTTCAAACGACCCCTATCCCTCCCCTATTTTTCTCTCTTCTCCGTATTTGCGGGACAAGCCCAGGCTGGTGTCCCCAGAGTCTCAGCGGGGGTGGAGTGACGCCCCCAACCGTTTAAGGGTTAAACATGCTCCCCTAATTGCTGGGGTTCCCAGGAGCCAAAGCTGGGAACAAAGACCCTGATGGCTTTGAAGCTGGGGAGCAGCCCCCTCCTCTGTGCTGTGAGGGCCCCAGGTGTCACTCACCTGAGCAGGTGAGGAATGGCTGGAGGGACAGAGAACAGGTCACTGCCAGCCTGGTCTGGAAGACACTGCCACTGTTCCCCATGCCCTGCTAGAGTTCACTTCTGGAGGAGTGAAAATCCATGGGGGCTTAGCGGGGGGTGGAGGGGTGGGGGGAATGATTCGGGAAATATGGGGTTAATAGGCAGCTGCCATCTGCAGGGAAATTCCCAAGACATGTGCAAACAGCTTCACCCCTGGAGGGCTGGGGTTGGGGGATCAGGAGGCTGTCCCAGGAGCCCTGGATCCTGGGGTAGGAGCAGCATGGCCTCTAAGGAGGTGCTGCTTCTCATCTTCTCAGGGCTCCAGAGAGCCCCTGCCTAAAATGAAGTGAGGATCTCCCTCCTTCCCCACATAGCCTGGTGTAGGGAAAGGCTTTGATGCCCAAATAGTGAGCATGTCTATGTAAGCCTGGGGATGACTTGTCATCCTGAGTCTCTGTGACCCCCAAAACATAACAAAGAAGCCAACCTTTTAAGAGTGGCTTAGGGAAAATCACCCCCACCTCTCTCCTCCTCCCAGTGTTTTATAGGGTAATAGCATGTTAGGATAAACATAAAGGGCAGTCTTGAAGGGCAAATATAAAACTAGAACCTGGGAAGGGAAAGGGCAGCTCTATAGTTCCATGCTTTGGGGGTGTTGGGGTAGTAGGTAAACACTGATTAAAATAATCCTGAAGACAAAAAAAGAACCCCAAAGCCCTTTGCTACCACCTCACCCAAGCTCCCTGCAGGCCTGGGGAATTTTTAAGACTTTCAGATGTAGAACTCAGTGAATACATCTTCAAAGACCTCAGGGACTTCCCCTTAGTCATCTCTTAACCCCAGAGGTCTATCCCTTTGGGTGAGCTCTTTCATCCACACCTGAAAACCACAGACTTACAGAAAGAGAATTGGCCTCAGAGATCATCTTGACCCATCATCTCCCTTTATAGAAGAAGAAACTGAGGCTCTGGGCTTTTTTTTTTTTTTAAGTCTCCTAAGCATTCTCCCATATGAGACTCTGCTTTCAGTTCTCCTCTTCATCCCTTGACTTTTTCTCAAATCACTCAGCCTGGTAAATGGCAGGGTCAGGATTCAGTTAGGAATTTCTGGAATTGGAGGGGATCTATTTATTTCCTTCTACCTCCCACTCTCTGATGCCTGCCAGCCTTACCTCCACCATCACACCCTTCTCATCTCCAGGTTTCCGTGAGAGTGCTTTTTCCTTCTCCATGTTGGCTGCTGGGGTCATGCATGCGGTAGCCACGGCCTGCAGCCTGGGCAAGCTGGTGAGCTGCAGCTGCGGCTGGAAGGGCAGTGGTGAACAGGATCGGCTGAGGGCCAAACTGCTGCAGTTGCAGGCACTGTCCCGAGGCAAAAGTTTCCCCCACTCCCTGCCCAGCCCTGGCCCTGGGTCAGGCCCCAGCCCTGGCCCCCAGGACACATGGGAATGGGGTGGCTGTAACCATGACATGGACTTTGGAGAGAAGTTCTCTCGGGATTTCTTGGATTCCAGGGAAGCTCCCCGGGACATCCAGGCACGAATGCGAATCCACAACAACAGGGTGGGGCGCCAGGTATGTGTGTACATCTTGTACTGGGTCTCCCTAGCTTGTGAGGCCTGCCCAGAGTTTGAGAGGGACAGGAAAATAATAGGACTAATAGGACAAGGTACAGTGGGTGATTGCCTCTCACTTTCAGCAAGTCACTCAACCTCAGTTGTGCATCTGTAAAGAGAGCCTAATTATACTTAGTTAAGATTGAGCTAGCAAACAATGCATCAGGCATAGTGGCTAGTTCTTGGCTTATTATTTAGCAGCTATTATTGCAGCTGCCTTCCCCAGTATTTAGGTGCACTCTGGGCCAACTCCCCATTTTACCAGTTCTGGATAGAGCACTGGACTTGGGAGTCAGGACAGCTGGAGTTGAGCCCTGGCTCTATTACCAGCTAGTGATTGAAGATGGACAAATCACACAGCTCTGGCTTCAGTTTTCCAACCATAAAATGAGAGAGTCAGGCTATTATCTAACTTCATAATGCTCTTTATCTTCTGATGGTCCATGTTATTCTTGCCTCCATTTGTCCCTCCCTGCATTCTCTGTTCCCTTCCCTCTACTGGGCCTCTGTGCTCTGTCCATTTGCTGCCCTCCCTTTTACCTCTTCTCCCTCTGATGCTATAGGTGGTAACTGAAAACCTGAAGCGGAAATGCAAGTGCCATGGCACATCAGGCAGCTGCCAGTTCAAGACATGCTGGAGAGCAGCCCCAGAATTCCGGACAGTGGGGGCTGCACTGAGGGAGCGGCTGGGCCGGGCCATCTTCATTGATACCCACAACCGCAATTCTGGAGCCTTCCAACCACGCCTGCGTCCCCGTCGTCTCTCAGGAGAGCTGGTGTACTTTGAGAAGTCTCCTGACTTCTGTGAGCGAGACCCCACCATGGGCTCCCCAGGCACAAGGGGCCGGGCCTGCAACAAGACCAGCCACCTGTTGGATGGCTGTGGCAGCCTGTGCTGTGGCCGTGGGCACAATGTGCTCCGGCAGACCCGAGTTGAACGCTGCCATTGCCGTTTCCACTGGTGCTGCTATGTGCTGTGTGATGAGTGCAAGGTCACAGAGTGGGTGAATGTGTGTAAGTGAGAGTAAGCCTCACCTTGGGGCTGGGTAGGAGGGATACCTTTTCAGCCCTTTGCTCTGATTTCCATCCAGGGCCAATCTCGGTGCCTGGAGGCTCAAAATATCTACCTGGAAACAGCTTTGGGGGTGGTGGGAGTCAGGTGGACTCTCTGAATGTGCAGCCTTCACCCCAAAGTTGGAGGGCCTTGGGGGAAAACTAACTCCTCTTCTGCTCCTTAAACACCTAAATGGACTAAGATGAAATGCACTGTATTGCTCCCCCTTCACAACTCCAGGGCCCCTTTAATTTGATCCCATGCCCCTTTTAGCTAGGGAGTCCCTATAGCCTGACCATTCTTCTCCCTTGAGGAATAACCCCAGGCGTTGTATGGAGCCATAGATCTGTATCTAGAAAGAGACCACCCATTCCTATTTGCTGTTCCCAAATTCCTCTGCTGCAGCTTGGACTCCCTCTTGTGGGGTAATGGGAAGCAGTGGTAGAGAGGTTTTTCTTGGGGGAAGGACAGAGTACTGGGGTGCACTATCCTCTGAATCCTCAGAGTTGTCTGTCTAGCCCGTTAGGGAAGTTGTTTTCTTTCATTCACATGTTAAAGGAGACCCTCTAAAGGAAGGGTTTTCCCTAGACTCTTAGGGCCTCTTTTTCCTCTTCAGCTGGAGGGATGGGAATAGATAATTTATTGTACTGAGACTTGTTCTTGGTTCCTGTTTGAAACTAAAATAAATTAAGTTACTGGACTAGTGGATGCAGATGGTGATATATCTATCCACACTTGGGATCCAAGTCCATAGCTTCTTTTTCAGGTTCTCCTACCCTCATACACTGAAAGACTTTATGTATATCCTACTTAATTTCACAAAGGACTTGAAATGGTCTTCAGTGACTTAGTTGGCAACTTTCAGTTTGTAAAAACCAAGAGGGACCTCTAGGTGGGAGGGGTTATATAGGCCCTGTTCACTATGGGCCTTGACTGCAGATTTCACTTTGATCACTACTGTAGAATAAGGGTTGGTAATTTTGTTTTTCTGTTTTAAAGGGGTACGTTGTAAATATGTTAAGTTCGTGGTCTTTGTGCCAACTACTCAATTCTGTTATAATAACTAAATTCTGCTCTTACAGATCAATAGCAGCCATAGACCATAAATTGATGGGCATGGAGTGTCCAATAAAACTTCACAAAAAATGGGCTGCAGGACCGTATTTGGTTCTCTGGCTATAGTTTGTTGACCCCTCCCCTAGACCATAAGATCATTTTTGTTCTAGCGGTTTTCCAGTCTCTTTTTTTTAATCCTTTTTTTCTTTATTATTTTTAATTGACACACAGTATATATTTATGGGATGGGTTTTCCAGTCTTAAATGTATCTTAACATTGAGATTGGGCCTAAAACAGCAAGTACTTTTCTCTCTGGCTCCAAATGAGAGAACTTGGGAAACAGATGCAAGACTCATGGAAAACATATAAAAGAGATTCCTATGCTCAAAATGTGAGTTTTTTTTGCTCTAGAAACCAGCAAAACCAGCATGCTCTCTCATTGACTTATATACGTATTTTGTCCTTCCCTATTCACAGCTCTTTTGTATTTCATCTTAGTAAAAATAATTCCTTTAACTTTTAAGAGATAACCATAACTAAAGAGAACTGAATTTTTTATTCCAACCTTTCTATTTCTAGCCCCAATATCTTTGAAAATAAACTGTTCTTTCCAAGATTCAATGTGGAAAAGGGATATGCATCCTATGTTCTTTTTTTTTTTTTTTTTGAGACAGTCTCACTATGTCACCCTCAGTAGAGTGCCATGGTGTCACAGCTCACAGCAACCTCAAACTCTCGGGCTTAAATGATTCTCAGCCTCCCAATTAGTGGGGACTACAGGCACCTGTCACAGCACCCAGCTATTTTTTGGCTGTAGTTGTCATTGTTGTTTGGCAGGCCCTGGGCTGGGTTCAAATCTGCTAGCTCTGGTGTATGTGGCCAGCACCCTAGCTGCTGAGCTACAGGTGCTGAGCCTGCATCCTAGCTTTAGAACTTTACAAATGACTGCATACTCACAAGGGGCTGCAAGATACTGACTCTTAACAGGTCATCTCCTTGGTCAGGGAATGTAAAAATAGTTCTGTCCACTTTTCTAGGCAACAGATAAATCTGCATTCCAAATTACTTCAAAATAAGGGGAAGTGGGTGTAGCAGCAAGGTAGCAAGGAAATTTTGAGGAGTCTTGGGTTAGGATAAAACTTTATGGCAAAATTTTATGTCCCCAATTTTTACTTGGGCAGAGAATTCTGGGCTTAAAAATTTGATGGAGGCAGGAGATGTTCCATTCTTACTTCAGGCATTTACCGGACCTAGAATGTGTATTGGGGGAAGAGCAAGGGAGAGAGATGCACCTAGAATGAGCATTGGATATGACAGAGAATAATGATAAAGAATATCCAGAACTGAAAATTTATATACTCAGGAAGAGGAAGGAGAATCTCTAATAGAGTTGCAGCAAGAATATTTCAGTTTTCTGTTTCCTTCCTCCGTACTCCCTTTCTTTTCTAGTTTTCCTTCTTTCATCAGACATACTCTGTGGCAAATTTAAGCCTTAAACCACAACCTTGACAAATTCCAAAAGGATTTTGTCAGCAAGGCCCACAACCAGCACTCCCCCTCAACATCCACTGTTCCTAGCACACGCACTGGGCTCAGGCCCAGGCCTGGGGTTAGCGACATGGTTGGAATATGCAACCCACAGAGCTGATGGCTACTGCTTCAGCTTTTACTAGGTTCCAAAGGCAGCTAGAGGGAGGAAGAAAGACTTATGGACTGTAAGTCAGGCCTCTTGTCCTCCTTCCACTCCAGATGAGCTCTATTCCCTCTGGCCTTTACCAAGTGGCTAGGAAATTGGGGAGTGGCAGTGGCCAGCTAATTGCTAGCTGGGTAGCACTCCTGCTGCAATAGACACTTTCTTCTCTAGACTCCAGAAGCTGAAGGATGAAAGAGCTGGGAGATTAGCCTGACTCAAATACCATGGTCCTTGCTGCTAACTGTATTAGGCCGTCATCATTTCCATTCTTCTGTTGCACCTGGGATACAACCTTGAGAGGATCTTAAGTCTTGGGCAGGAACATTGACAGGTTCCACCTCCATGTCAGAGTCCCATAGGGCTTGTGGGTGTGGTAGGGAAGGAAAGTAGGGAGGAACTGAAAAACATAATTTTAGTAGTCAACATGGGGGTATCACCTGGTAAGGTGTTACTAGAAATTTCTAGGAAAAGAAACGGAAGGAGTAATCACATGGAATTACCACAGTGCCTACTCTAGAAGTCTGTAATAACACTGGAAGAGTCTTTTGGCTTCAAAAACACAGAGGTGCCCAGTGTGGTGACACTCTCCTGCACTCCCAGCTGATTGCTACTTGAGAGGCAGAGGCAGAATAGCTGAACTCAGGATTTCAAGGTCGTAATGCACTATGGTTACTGTGATTGCACAGTCACTGCACTCTAGCCTGGGCAATATAGCTAGAGCCTATCTCTTAAAAAAACAAACAAACAAAAAAAAAAAAACAAAAAAGGAAACCCAGTTTAGCAGGGCAAAAGCTCTAACAGGAATGACCTGGGATAGATATAACTCTCTGTTATAAACATATTGCTTGTTAACAGGAAATAAATAGATTCCTTTATTATAAACAGATTCCCTCCCCATCTTAAATTAGCATCCTCCTTCTCTTGGCTTTACATTCTTTTTTTTTTTTTTTTTGCAGTTTTGGCCAGGGCTGGGCTTGAACCCCCTACTCTTTGAGCCCCAAGCTTTACCTTCTAGGGTCATATTATTATTCAAGTTAACATAAGAGAGAAAATAGATTGGAATAAGGGACTGTGAGTGCATACTTGATACTGATGGGAAAGGGGATAGACATAGTTTGGCTATCAACCTAGTTCTTCTTGGAAGGAGACAAAAAACAAGGCAAAAAATTCAGAAGAGCAGCAATTTTGGCTCAAGCATTTGGGAGGAGCCATGTGTTCCCCTATACTGCTGTAAACGACAGTGGGCACTTAAGGAACCTTCTTCAGGGTCAGGCATGGTGGCTCATGCCTGTAATCCTAGCACTCTGGGAGGCCCAGGTGGGTGGACTGCCTGAGCTCATGAGTTGGAGTTTGAGACCAGCCTGAGCCAGAGTGAGACCCTGTGTCTAAAACAGCTGGGTATTGTGACAGGTGCCTGTACTCCCAGCTAGTAGGGAGGCTGAGGTGAGAGGATCTCTTGAGCCCAAGAGTTTGAGGTTGCTGTGAACTATAACACCAAGGCACTCAAACCCAGGGCGACTGTCTGAAAAAAAAAAAATCTTTTTCTTGTTCATCTCATTACTAATGTCCTTCTTTTATCACACCTGTGACTGTTTCAAGGCAATGTTGCATGTTTAGACTAGGTGCAAAAGTGAGTGTGAGGGATGTAGAGGTGGATAGAAAGCAAGAAATACGGGTGCAAAGTCCTTTATTTTTCCTCGGGATACTAAAATCTATACACATCTAGGTACACTTTCTGAAACCACACCTCTGAATACTAGGCTTCAACTCTCCCTATTTCAAGTTCCAACTTCCTAACTGGCCCTGAGTCCAGCTGTTTCCTTTAGTCTCTTAAACTCATCACTCCTCTTATGGGAAAGGATCTCTTGATTCAGAACCTGGAGTCTTTGGAATAGTGAGCAGCAACAAGGGTGCAGTTAGGGCTCTCAGGGGAATGCAGCTAGCTCAGATTAAGAAATAAAGATGAAATCTGGCGGGGAAAAGCCACCGTAAAGCCTGCTCACCCATAAACAGCTCCTGACTTTGCCCCTCGGCTCAGCTCTAGGCTCCACTGCAACTAGCGAGCAGCCTCAGCCCTTAAATTCCAGGCACAACCACGGAGTTTGGGATTCTCACCTCAGTCCCCACTGTTCGATCCCGATTCTCGGCTCCCGCCTCCGCCTCCGCGTCCTCGGTCTCCAGCCCCCACCCCTCCATCGGCCCCCTCCCGGACTCCAGCGCCAGTGCCCAGCTGCCTCTGCTGCAGCTGCTGCCATGGTGATGGTTCTCGCGAGAGCTGCCGCTCGCTGCCGCACAGCTCTCGCGCGATCAGGGAGGTGGGAAGTATGTGAGGCTGGGGGTGGGGGTGCGCCGCACCGCTCTTGTAGCTGTCGCGGCTTCCGGTGCTAGGTGGAGGGAAGGAAGGAGGGAGCGGCGGAGCGGACCAGGGGGGCAGCCGCGCTGAAGTCGGCTTGGGGAGCCGGAGGGAGCGGAGCGAGAGTCGAGTGGAATCTGAAGGGCCGAGGCGGCGGCCGCTGCGGAGCAGCCGGGAGCCGGAACAGGTGAGGGACTTGGGGGGAAGGCGGATCCCGGTAGAGATGAGGCTCGATCAGGGTGGGGGCTGAGGAGATAGAGGCCCCTAGGACCCGCCCGACACTGCTTGACTTGGGGCGGTGTGGTCCTTCCCACCCGATAGCTCGAAGAGAGGCCGGTCCCACGCCTGCCCCCGCGTTTGAAGGACGCGAAGCTGGGGTGGGGGTTGGGGGCGCACACGGATTTGTCCTCCGCCTCGCACAAGGGGGCGACTTGGGCTGCAGTTGGGTTCTCTTCGTCTGCAAGAGGTGGGCTTTCCAAGGGTCGGGGTCGAGGGGAGGTAAGAGATCTGGGGAGAGGTGATGCGGGGGCGGTGATGGCTGTTTATTATCATTTTTCTGTTAAAGGGCTAGAAAATGCTGCTCTTTATTACTCTCCCTCCCCCACCTTAGCAATAGGAGACCAGAGGGAAGCCTTGCTGTGGTTACACCCCCTCCCCCCGTCACGGGGCAGCGGTGCGTGGGAGGGGGGGTTAGGTGGTAGCCAACTGGGCAGGCTAATGGGACACCCCATGGACATTATTCTGGTGGAGGTTGCGCTTTCTAGTCTTGGGAGGAGGGCAGCAGGTGGGGAGAGGAGGCAGAACGGGGAGGAGGATCTGATCTTGCCTGGAAAAGAGAGGTGGGGCTTGCCTCCCCCAGGCGAAACGGGGGCGGTCTCACAGGAGGAGGGAGCATCTTGTCACTGGCCCTGAGTTGGTGTCTTCCAATCCGCTTTCTTTCTTTAGGAAGTACCAAGATTCCCGGAACAGAAAATGGAGCCATTGCTTACGCCAATCCTTTGAGGGAAGGAGGGGGGAGGTGGAGAGGTGGAGTTCCCTGTTAACACGGGCCACTTAATTAGCAAAGTGGTAGCTATTAGGGGAGTTCCCTTCATTCTGGGTTGTGTTAACTGCGGGTCTCCATCTGGCCAAGCCAGGATGAGTGTGGTGGAGGAGATGGAGGAGTGTGGTATGTGGTCAAGAGTGAGAAGAAATAGTGAGGTCATGCGGGTGAGGGAGAAATGTAACCTAAAACCTGTCTCTGCTGCTGTTGGATTGGGTCACCCCTGGTCTATGGCATGAAAGTTTTATTGGGAGGAGATCTGCTGGAGGAGTCTGATTGCTTGGGTCAGTGCAACAGGACAGAATCCAGTCTCTGCATACCTCCATCCCTGTTCCCAGTCTGGTGGGTCCCATTTTGTCTTGGGCGTGGTTTTGGGAAAAGTGTCTTCACTTGCGGTGACTGGCATGGGACAGTGGATCAAACATTTCACGTTAAACCTGAGTTTGAATAACATGCCTGTGAAAAGCTCATTCTAAGAAAGAAACAAATCCATTGAGGTTCAGCAGTTCACAGAATGAACCATTGACCTTGGATTCAGCCCGGTAGGGCTGCTGTATATCACTTATTAACATGCCTCCTGTCTCCCAGCTTAGAATCTTTACTTTTCCTAGTCAGAGTTTTTTCACATGTGTATATTTTGCTTTACCAAAGAAACTAGAAACTTTGGCTGGGGCTGAGTTTGAATCCACCACCTCCTGCATACGGGGCTGGCGCCCTACTCCTTTGAGCCACAGGCACCACCCAGAAACTAGAAACTTTTTGAATGCAGAAATTGGGTTTTAATAACCAGGCATTGTGGTGGGTGCCTATAAACCCAGCTACTTGGGAGGCTGAGGCAAGAGAATCGCTTAAGCCCAAGAGTTTGAGGTTGCTGTGCGAAGGGGCACCAAAGTGAGACTCTGTCTTAAAAAAAAAGTCACCCTACTCCTGTGGCTCAAGGAGTAGGGTGCCAACCCCATGTACCAGAGGTGGCAGGTTCAAGTCCGGCCCTGGTCCAAACTTCAAAATACAAAAAATAAATAAAATAAAAATTCTTTCCCTGAAAAAAAAAGAAGAAAGAAAGAAATTGGGTTTTATTTCTCATCTCCTGCAATGCCTATGCACACGCTATGTACCCATGGTGGATACAGAATGTGAATAGATAGAACTCAACAAGCTTTCTAACTACAGTTTAAGGAAAGGGAAAGAAATGGCTTGGCTGTCGGCAAAAGTGCCTGAAAATAGCTGAGCAAGGGTACAAAGACCTTAGCCTTTGTAATTGAGAAGTTTTGGCGGCTCCATATAGAACAGGCATAAATAATGGAAACAAAGACCCAAACACAAAAATATTACTAGAACACGGTCATTATTTATCTGAAATCCCAGATTTCCTGCTCCCCCACTGTGGGTGAAGGAGGCTCTCCATTAGACCTAAGTCTTTGGAAGTGTTGTATACAAATTAGGATCCTTGAGATTATAGAGGAGGGGTCAGTGTGTGTGTGTGTGTATGGTGCCCAGCACAGAATTGGTACCAATGAGTGGTAGCTGCTATTATACTGAATACAATTATAAAGAAGAACAGATAGCAGGCTGGAAAGAGTGGAAGTGAAGTGTTAAATGCACAAAAGGTCATACTGTAGTGTGTGTTCATTTACTCTACTTTCTTTTCCACTAGGGTCATAGTAAGAAGAAATAGACTCAGGACATAGGGCCGGCTTTATTGGTTAGAAGGAGGAACTTCTTTAAGAGTATGTTGTTTTTTTTTTTTGAGACAGAGCCTGAAGCTGTCCCCCTGGGTAGAGTGTCGTGGCATTACAGCTCACAGCAACCTCCAACTCCTGGGCTCAAGCGAGCCTCCTGCCTCCGCCTCCCAAGTAGCTGGGACTACAGGCGCCCGCCACAACGCCCGGCTATTTTTTGGTTGCAGCCATCATTGTTGTTTGGCGGGTCCGGGCTGGGGATTCGAACCTTCACCTTAGGTGTACGTGGCTGGCGCCTTAGCTGGTTGAGCTATAGGCGCCGAGCCAAGAGTATGTTTTTAAAAAAATTTTTTTTGACATGGGATCTCACTATGTTGTCTAGGCTGGATTCAAACTCCTGGGCTCAAAGAATCCTACCACCTCAACCTCCTATTTGTAGCTGGAATTACAGCTACACAGTACCATCCCTGGCTTAAACCCAGGTTTTTATTTTATTTTATTTTTTGAGACAGAGTCTCACTATGTTGCCATTGGTAGAGTGCAGTGGTGTCATAGCTCACAGCAACCTCAAACTCCTGGGTTTGAGGAACGATTCTCTTGCCACAGCCTCCCAAGTAGCTGGGACTACAGGTATCTGCCACAATGCCGGGCTATAAAACCAGGTTTGTTAAAGCTGAGTGTGTAACTGAGGGAAATTGTGGAATTGGCTTCCCCATATACCTTTACAAACAGATGCCAAGAGGCCTGAGACTCACAGCATATCACTATTTTTGGCTCTCCTTACCATTTGTTTAGCAGGTAAATTTAGAGGCAGAAAGGTATGGTAATTAAGAGTGGACATTGGAATCAGAAAATTAGGGTCAAATCCCACTTTTGCTAATTATTAATTGCATGTTTTTGGTAAAATTACTTATCTTCTCTTAGCTTCATTTTCTTCCCCTGTAAAGAAGGTAATACCTACCTATTGGTTGTCATGAGAATTAGAGATAATAAATATAAAGAACTTAGTATTGTTACAAAGCATATAGTAAATCATCAAATAAATGTTAGCTGCTATTAATAATCCATCATAATAATACTAGTAATAATATGAACAGTCAGGGCTGCCTTAAAGGAAAGATTTACAAAACAACAACTTGCTGCCTGAGGTGCCTGTGTAAGGGATGATTGTACCATGATTTTCTATGCTGGTTGTAGGCTCATGAGCAGTGAAATCTTTTTTCAGTATCAGCCTCACAGAGGCAGCTCCTGCAGCCTGAGTGGGAGGTAAAGCTGGAGCAAAGCAGAGGCCCTGAACCATTAAGTTGGATGTAGGGTAAGAACGTGGAGGCTCAAGAATAGCATTCATGTTAGAAAAGTCAGTGTGACTCTGAGGTAATGGTTGACTCTTCCATAAAGAGCATCCTGATTGACTTAGGTCTGAAATTTAGATCCTAGTTCCCCTTATTTTAGGTCTCAGTTAGTATTTCAAGATCTTCCATTTCCTGGGCTATTTTTTTCGTTTGGTCATATCTTTTTTTAATGTCTGCTTCTGAGTATATGTTTCATTATGTATTATATATATTATGGTCCAGAGATTATGTAAGTCTCTATCATACCTTCTTCACTCCATCATCTGTTACAAATATAGGTGGAGTGCTATTAAAGTTTTTTTTTTTTTTTTTTGAGGCAGAGTGTCATAGAGTCATAGCTCACAGCAGCCTCAAACTCCTGGGCTCAAGAACTACTCTTGTGTCAGCCTCCAGAGTAGCAGGGACTACAGGCACCCACCACAATGCCTGCCTAGTTTTTCTATTTTTTTTTTTTAGTAGAGATGGGGTCTTGTTCTTTCTTGCTCAGGCTGTTCTGGAACTCCTGAGCTCAAGCAGTTCACCCACCTCAGCCTTGTAGAGGTGGCTCATGGCTAGGTTTATAGCCATGAGCCACTGTGTCTGGCCTCCTAATAAAGCTTTTTGATAAGGAAAAGACCTATGGAACATTTGGAATGAGGCCCATAAATATTTGAAGGCTTCATATTATAGCCTGGGAAAGAACTGACTGAAGTAGGGATTCTGTGAATGTATTAGAACTTTGTCATGGACTTCTGCAAAGTTTCTGCAAAACATATGGATGAGAAAGGAAATGGCTCAAGATTTCAAGGATCCCCCATTATCACTATATTCCTGAAGAAAGGTGAGATGAGTAAGTGTGGCAGGTCTTCTGGTCCTTTGAATTTTCTAATTACTGGTGAGAGTCTGGGATACCCTTTCTATATTAGTTTATGCCCAAGAGTGTCAGGCACAAATGTTTAAACTTCACAAACATAGGATGCAGGAGCACATTTACTCTTTGTTTCAATGTTTGTTTGTTTGTTTTTAAGAAATCCTTATTTATTTATTTATTTATTTATTTATTTTTTGAGACAGAGTCTCAAGCTGTTGCCCCGGGTAGAGCGCCATGGTATCACAGCTCACAGCAACCTCAAAC